TTCCGCTCTGACAAACCAACCATAGCTGGTTAACACGAAGTGCAATACTGCCCTTGCATCACCGTGGGAATGACGCCACAGACACCGCAAAACACAGAGACTTACCTGGAGCTGATAAGTGTAATCAGCAGTGAGTGAGCTTGTTTGGAAAGAGTTTGAATGTAATGAATGTTCATTTATGTGTAAAAGCCTTGCACTCTAAGTTTAATTTCCGGACTATAAGCTGCTACTTTTTTCACACGCTTTGAACACTGCGGCTTAAACAGCGACGCAGCTAATTTATGGATTTTTACGAGTTTCGCGAATTTGCCTCGAGACGAAAGTGACATTGAGACGACAGAGAGACTGATAAAGTGTGTGACGAAGTAACTCTGAGGCTGAAGAAGACGACTTTAGTGGTTTTAGTGCGCAGGAGGAAGATGAAGATAGCGATCAATGACTTTTCCTGGTAGGCTGCTGTATGTTTTATTTTCTTAACCAGCCGTGTTACAGGCGCTGTTTGGGAAGAAAGCATTTACTTATTTGTGTATGTTATCAGTACGTATTTAATTAAAAGTTTAAAAAATCTTTCTGTGTAAATATCTCATGTTACAACGAGGACACCTGCAGCTTACAGACAAGTGTACAAAGTAGGTATAAATCTGTTTTTCTTTTCAAAGTCAGTGGGTGCGGCTTATATTCAGGTGCCTCAATAGTCCAGAAATTACGGTAATTTTGCCCCAACTCTGAACAAAGTTCTAAAACGGCAGCAGTTTCATATGTAACGTTCAATGCCTACAAGTGGTGCAAATGTTAAAATAACAGCAGCCACCGTGTCTCCCTTTTTCACCTGTTCATGGTGACATCAACATGTTTTGTTATTGGTTAAACAGGTCGGCACATGTTGGAATGACCTGGCTAAGACACATAGCCGACCCTGCNCTGACTTGCCTAACCTGCATTAGCGAACAAAGTTGTACCACGGTTAGAAAACAACATCACGACGACAGTATCTTCATGCTTTCACGTAACAAAACAGAAATCCACACCCAACCGATGACAGATTTTATAGAACACATCGCTAAAGACTGGATCTCATGTGCCTCAGCAGCATCACCACGGTTCAATCATCTAACGAAAACACGCGTCGCTGGGATGAGCTACAAAAAACAACTTCTTCTCTGTCGTCGTTTTATGAAGATATCAGTCAAGGTCGCTGCACACTCGCTGTGGCAGGATCTTGTCTGTTGAGCTTTCTCCTGTTTTGTTTTTCTTTTCTTTTCAGTAAATGCAAAGCTGAAAAGTCAAATAAACGCTTCAGTTATACTAAAAAATAAATAATTGTTTATGCCAGTAAATGGATCATTACTTTTTTTCCCTCATATTCATTCAGCGGCACTGGAAAACCTGCAGATCGGCTTTATTTCCACAGTCTGGAAGTCATGAACACTGTCAAACAACACAAAAAGAAAGAAATGATATATTCACATATTTCCCGTCATGGCTGAGAACTAACTGAAAAATATATATATTGGGTTATTTTAATAAAATGTGCATTTTTTTTCTGACTTGCCTAACCTGCATTA